TGAATATTCGTTTGATTTTTATACTTGATTTATATGTGAATCCCACATTTCTCCCTTATTATTATTATTATTATTATTATTATTTTTGATAAAATGCTGAAGTGGTAGGTATATGCAAGATAAAGGTAGAAAACATAATTTAGTGCTGTAAGACGGCAAATGTAGATGATCAGGTCTGTGCCTATAGACTAAGTATTAATCCAAGCTAGACAAGGGCAACAAAACATCCACGGATGCTGATTTCTCTCAAAACAGGGGGGTTGAGGTTCTAAGCCTCACCTCTGTTGATCCCCAATTTCTCACCTGATGGCCCCCCTGTGACTGTGCCTGTTTTAGGTTGTTCCTTCCTTGAGGAATCTTACCCGTCTCTGGCTAACCAGTCATCTTTCGGGGCCATACAGGGAAATGTAAAGTTGGTAAATGAGAGAGAAGCAATATTCTTTGAAAAGGTTAGCTTTTTACTTTTTTGCAGATTTATGCCCTGTGGCTTCTATGCCCAGCATTTGTCTTGAGGTATCTTTATCACTTGGAAGATTTATGATACTTGGTAATTTTCACTATGAGGCATGAATTCTACTAAACGGTTGTAATTAGGAAGGAAGAAGAAAAGCTATAGAAGTAGCAGATAGAAGAAAACATGGGAAGATTGATTGTTTCTTTGACATATCTTCTTGTAGAGTAATATAAGCATGTATAGGTTTTAACAAACTACTAATTAAATTACGTACATACATTAACATAATAGGAATACAGCTACATAACAAAAGCAGACCTACAATTACCAGCCATATCCAGTGAAACCATGAAAACCAGTTAGGTATCCTAGGCATTTGTGAAAACTTATCAATGATATGATGGATATTGTCTAACTGAATGTGAATAGTTTGAGTAAAATCAGACAAATTTAAACAACCCATTCCTGAGAACTGTTCACATCCCATATGTTCTTTTAACAGTAGATAGTCTATAGTCGCACGATTTTGGAGCACTGCAACTTGCACTTCTCCTAATTGTTGGTTGAGTTCCGACAGTATAGATCCAGTCAAATTTGTTGTTTTACTGTATGCACAGGCCAGCTTAGATATCTCCTTCTTCATTCCAATGGCAAGTCCAGGAACTGGTGAGATGAATGCCGGTACAACTGCAGAAGTGCCAGGATCTTTGTTGAAGTTTTTTGATGATCATCTTCTGGAATGACTCTTCCAGAGGATGTTGATGTTGGAAGTTCTTCTTCATATCATATCTTAATTTGTTTTCTGGGTAGCCAGATTAGGCTTTGATCCTCTGTATAAACACAAACAAACCCTTTGCCCCCACTTTGATATGACCTTTATACCATTGTGAAGAACCTATTGGAGATCACCACACAGGAACTGCTTTTTTTTTTTTAAGAGAAGGGAATATTATCAGAAAAATGTACTTCCATAGCTGATCATCTGACACCCTTTAAAAGATCAAAATTAAGGATATATAAAGCATGCATTAATCTTTGATTTGCAGTTAGTTTTATCCTATCAGGGAGTAATCCCCCTTCCGAGTATACATTTTAAATCATTTTCTCAATACTGCATGTAGTTTAAAATAAAGTAGCACATTCCTGAGCAGAGATGTGGGTGTGGATTGGACAGCCACCCTTGCTTTGTCACTGACTCACAACAGACTTTGCAACTACAGGCAAACCTTATAGCTCAGCCCTTCCTCCTGTAATGATTGTTTAATTTATACTCTGTACCTAACTTCTTGAATTGGCTTCAATTCTAGATTCTGTCCTACAATTTTGCCATTTTAAATAAGACCTCTTCTGTTACCAAATCACTGAAGGATGAGCTATATATAGTAGAAGAGGAAAACTAAATTTACCTTATCGAATTCTGACATTTTTAATTTGGAAAATGTATTATCAGAAAAAATCTGAATAAAATAGTTGTGAAAAATTATGCAGTCTTATTATGTTAATGATTTTTCTTGAATACTTTTGCAGTTTATTTTGACTAGGTTGAAGATAGAACTATAGATACCAACTCCTTTTTGAAACTTTTGCATCTTTTCTGCTGAGGGGTGGATTCATATTTAATGAGTCCTGATATTGACAATCTTGGTTTCAGGACTTGAAAGCTAAGTAACTTTTTTTTCTCGCACATACAGGTAGAAACTTCTATTTAAGAAGCAAAGCCCACAAAAACCTTGTTCCAGAAGTTTCATAACCACTTCAGTCCCAGCAGGCATGATGATGAAGGCTAAAAGGATTAAGTACCTAACACAGGCTTAGCAGTACACTATAGTGTGCTGGGGAAGACAGCCACAAATGCCTTGCAGTCGGCTTTATCAAGAAATAGGGTCTATTTACTCGTACTCTGAACCTGGTCTGGCCTTGCAACTTGCTCTGACCAGTCAAGTGTGGCGGAAATGACTTTGTGCCAGGGAAAGCCTAGGTCCCAGGAGAGCTTGCAGCTTACCCCTTTGCCATTTCAGGGCACTGCCCTGAGCATACTATGTGAGGAAGCCGATCTCGGTTTCAGGAGCCAAGTGGCAGGTGAGAAGCCATGAAAAAGAGAACTAAGCCCCCAGCCCTCCCGGCTGGCCGACAGCCAGCACTGACGACAAACTGGTGAGTGCCGACTTGGACCTTCTACTCTAGGTGTGCCTCCACTGAAGTGGTGTTACCTCAGTGAGCCTAGAAGAAACTGCTATAAGCCCACCCAGAGTGATGAGAAATAATGAATGGCTTGAAGCCGTTATGTTTGAAAGGTGGGGGAGGAGTGCTACTTAGCAATAATTTTAGAGTAACTAAAATTCCCCAAAAGAAATTGTTTAAAAGGCAGATCACAGATCCCCATCCAGAAATTCTGACATAGTAAGTCTGGCTTGGAACCCTGTATCACACTTTACACACAATGACCCAGATGTGAAAACACACCATCCTAGTGAGATTACAGAGCAGGCCTGAGGCAGGTGGCTGCATAACTGAGCATTGCCCCTGGCTTGGTGCTTCTGGATTTGTGCAGCACACGTTTGCATCACCATATGCAGTGTGCAGGTACGGACAGAAGCTTTTTCCCCGTATTGGTTTGGAAAGATAGAGAATATCTTACAAAATAGAAATCGAGTAGGTTATTTTTATTCTTCCCCATTTGCCTAATGGATCAATAGGCAAGGGGGTTGAATGGGGCAGCAGTAATAGCATGATCCTCCTGGGGAAACAAAGATCTAGCAGGAGATTTTGAATGAAATTGGTGTGGGCTGAAGTCTTAAAGTAAGAGGTTAGATGTAAACAAATGCAGCTGAGTTGAGGCAGAAGTGGAAGAAGAGTGTGCGATTTTCTTAAGCATCATGGAAAGAGGAGACAGGAGAGCAGGGAACGCAGATGCTCAGGGAGGCTTATTTGAGTGGAGAACAATAGGAACTGCAGGTGAATATTTTGAAGCCACTATAGACAGATGGTGAATCTGCCTGAGTGAATCTGACTGAGTCTTTCACTTAGGTGTACACCCTCCTCATATCCCCGGGATAGAAAACTAAGCTGGTTTGAGCATTTAAAGCTGTGGCTTTCGGTTGCTCCATGTGGTGAAACTTGGAGCATCTGGGTCCTGCTTTTATCTGTCCACTAACATGCCATGAAAGAGAGGATTCCACTGCCAAGAAGCATTTAAAAACCAATGAGTTAAAGCATGAAGGAAATATTATTTAACTGAAGAGAAAGATCAGTTATCACACAAGTGATATTTTAGTTTCAGAGATACCTGCTTCCCAGGGGTAGATGAAAAGTCAAACTTAGTCTTCTCCTGGTTTTTATTTGCTCTCAGGAGATGATGAGAACCCAGAAAACCCTCAACAACTAGCATCTGTCCAGGTCTTTTGGTGAGGTAATCTGCATTTTCTCTGCCACAGTGAAAGTGAAATACCTTGTGGTTAAGGAACAAAAACAACCAACTTCTAATACAGTAACATTAACTTCTACGGAGAAATCTCCCTTTTCAGGAGCTCTTTGTGAAACTTTAGTTGCTGAAAGAGCAAGAAAAAAATCACAGATATGTACAGATAGTTAGCACAGAAGATCCTTCCTGGCTTCTATTGGTTTAAGACTCTCTGACACTCCCCAAATTATAACTTTTTTCTCCCTTTTCTTGGGAAAAAGGTGGAATTAACTGTCACTCTTAGGGAAATCACACAAATATATGTGTCATTTTTGCCTAGAATACAAATACACATATTGTAATGAGGGAAAATATATAATATTTACATAATTATGAGAAGATTTTTATTTATAAATTATGATTACATGAACTTAACACATCTGTGTTTTCCAGGATTAACTAGAGTGTATTACAGTATCACATTAATTTACAAATCTCAGTTGCTTAACCCAACAGAAGCTTATATTTTATTCTATTGCATTTGAGACATTTAGTAAAAATAAAAGTAAGTGATGTGAACATCTGGTTTTAAAATTTCTTCCTACTAAGACAGCATGAGTAAAAAATTTAAACAAATTATGCTTTCTACTCAATAAAATTCCTATAAAAAGAATAAGCTTTTCTGTCAGGGCTAAAATAAATTGTCTCTAAATATAGTAGCAACCAAAGTGTAGTAAGCCCAAGAAACAATTTTCAAACCATCACAGCCACAAAACTAGGGTTAACTGAGGAATTGGCTTGTTATATTGATATCATTTTCATTATATTTAAAGATAAATTTGTCATTTATCACTGCAGAGAAACAAATTTAAGCGAACACTGCATTGTGGCCATGCAATAGTATGCCAATGATCAAATAATTTTCACACTTAGTTTAAAACTAACAAAACCAGATTTATGTAACAGTAAGGCCTGTGGAGATATTTAAATGTTTTATTATAAAGTTAACTAATTAATATGGAAATTAAAAATTGGGGCACATGTGGGGATATTTTCCCACTTATGTAAGTCTAAGATTTATGTGGAAAAAACTCCTTGAGGATAAGACATGTTACTTATCAACCCACAGTGGGCATATATCATATTTGTGTTCCTGGCCGCATCCCTTTCTTTGCAGAACCACCCTCGTCTATTCTGAACGGTTAAGAACATCCCATCTGCTACAGTGCTGTGCAGCATCCTCACCACAGGAGTGATCACCTGACCCAGTATGGCCATTCATAATACCTCACTCCTCTCAACACAGCGATTAAGGGGTGTGAAGTTATTATAAACAGAGCCAATATAAATCCGTGCTTGTCACTGATGTACTGGTTTGAGAAGGCTTTTTCAGCTAGGTTGGGATTGCTAAATTATGGTATATAGCCTCAGATAGCAGGTAACTGTCTTCCCTGGTCAACTTGGGAACCTGAAGAAGTAGAAGAGGATAAGACTCAAAGAAAGAAAGAAGCAGGACTGGAAAAGGAAGAGGGAGGGTAGGGTGGAGGGAAAATATTACATTCCCTAGGAACCAACCCTGAGCTTCCGGATTGTGTGAACCAACCACTTCTCTTTTGGCTTTAGCTAATGTGAGTTGGGTTATTGTCACTGCAATTAAAAGTGAAAAATCTTCCTTTCTGAAAGTCCTGTAGGATCCACCACAATACCATGGCATCTTATATGTGGTACTGAGTCAGTAAAGGTTTTAACTCAAGGAAAGCATAGAGGAGTCTATTCTTTGACATCTTGAAAGGTGTTGTAGGTAATGTGGTATATTTTGTCAAAATAATTATTATGTACTTGCTTTTCTAACTCAACTCTCAAGTTTTTTTTCTTTAAAATTTCATTTCCTCTGTGTAACATTGGATCCTCACAGTATCACTGAATTCTTCTTTTTATTAATTGAAGTATAGTTGATATACAATATTATATTGGTTTCAAGTAATCCACACAGTGATTCAACAATCACATGCATTAAATCCTCTATTGCCAAGTTCTTAATTAACATACTCATGTGAAATAGCATAAGCACACTTTCTCTCTCTAAATATATGTATTATCTCTCATTATATCATACACACACACACACACACATATCAAGCTATTTTCAATCACTTTTTTAATCCATACAGTTTCATTTTTATATTGTTTTCCAAATGTTTGTCATGCCATTTTCTAGTGCCGATGAAATATTTCCTATTGGAGACGATATTGTAAGTGGGTGTGGGATTCTCAGACAAATTTATAAAATCTTATTTAACCCATATTGTCTATGGCTCTAATATAATGGAAAGTTAATGCTCTTTAAGAGCTTTGCCTTTTAGTCCCCATAACACTTTTATTAATTTTATGGCCATGGCCACATCTTCTCTGAACTACTTATGAAGTACTTAGTAAAATATAGTTATTTAGCATATACAGGTAATATGAAAGAGAGAAAATTTTATTTCAAAATCTGAAATCAGAATTCCTTTCAGAGTAGGAAGTTTTTTTACTTAGTTTTTTATTTAAAATTTTGAGTCTGACAATATAGGTCCCAAATATGGTCTGAAAAAATAAGGCAAGGTCTGAATTGCTCAGAATAAAAAAATGAGAGAGATTTAGACATGGCATTGGCCCAAAGGGAAGAAATTGGGGCCTTGTAATAAGAAAAGAAAAAAGAAGGCCTGGTGGAGGTGGTTGCTGACAACCTGGTGGGAGGCCTGGGGTCTGAGGAGACACAGGCAGGGAGAGGTTCCCGTGGTAGGAATGCTGAGGGCTTCCATGAACAGGGCTATCTGTATTCACCTGTAACATAGCCCCCTCTGCTAATACCTTCAAATTATTTACAGAAGTCTGCTACATGTAACTACTCCACATATAGGTTGCTTTGTGGAATCAATATCTAAAGGATCATGTTCCACATTTGGGTTGAGCTAGGGTGTGGGTAGGGTTGAGTGAACAGATCAGATGCAGAAGTGGGATTGAGAACCCCATGGAGGCCAGAGCTCTTCTGAGAAAGATTGGGAAGGATGCTGGCAATAGTGGAAATTACTTACAGCCCACCAGATGCACATCTCACATGAGCAAGTAATAGCACATTATTTACTTGAAAATCAAATTGAATCTGATTCAGAACCCTTATTGCTCCTGCATGACCCCATCAATTCCTGTGGCTTTGCTCTATCCAAGCAGAGATATCTCTGGTGAATCTGGAAGTATGATCTTCACAGCCTGCTATCTAGCCACCACATTTAAAGATGAGAGAGATGTTCCATAAAGGAAGGGCTATTGAAGGAAGTAAGAGAGAAAATCAAGGAGTTTAGAAATGTTGATGCGAGACAATATTTTTTTCCCTCTGTATTTGATATACTGTAGTTCTGTGATGATTAAATGAATGAATGAATGAATTCTAGATATTCAGAACGGAAAATCTGGTGCAGAATGGAGAAGTAAATTGAGAAGAAATAAAGTTTAATCACTCATTTTTGCAGCTATGGTGATACAAAGTTGGAAACGACTTTAGAATCCATCAAATTCAGTTCTTTCACCTCTGTATGAATAACATCTAGTCACTAGTCACATGTGGCTATTAAATAAAACTTCAAATTTAATTTCTCAGTCATACTGGTCACATTTAAAGTGCTCAGTAGCCACATGTGACTAATGTAAGTAATTGAGACAGTACAATACAGAATATTTCCATCATTGCAGAAAGTTCTTTGAGACAACAGTGATCTATTACATTCCTATTAAATGATCATCCAGCCTTTGCTTATATTTTTCTTAATGAATGTCACTCATTATTACATTTTTGGTTGGGCAGAATTGTTAGCCTGTCCTTGAATTTTTCTACTAGGATTATTTATCCTAGATTTTTTAGATGAGTGAAAAGATTTATTCTCTGTAGGGAGAATTTTATTACAGTAGCTATTTAAAATGTTTGTTAATGATAAAGATATTCTACACTGAATAGAATAATATGAAATACTTAGAAAAGTTAACTGTTTTTTAAAGGATCTCATTTATGCCTAACAAGTATTACTAATGTAAACATCTCCCTAATGGTAATTATTTTTTCAAAACCGCCAAAAAAGTGACTATAGAAATACCTTTATGCTTCACAAGAATGCTGAACATGCACCAAATATTTTCTTTTATTTCTCCATGAGCTAAAACGTAATGCCATTATGTGATTCAAGCTCTGTATCTAACTCCTTAGCGAATGTAATAATTTCCTAATTAAATCCAAATATTTAATACATGTCATGAAAATCCCCTGACACATTTCAGTGACTGAAAGGTGGAAATCTGTAATTAGTCTTCAAGTTTTTAAAGGAAGTGAGAGTGGAGAGTTTAGAAAAAAACAAAATAAATCATCTAAAAGGAACAAAATTAGTGAAGACACCAGCCCGTCTCAAAGAATATTTACTGCTCACAAGAACTTAATTCATACTTGTTTTATTAATACCAATAACTAAGTGGGTTTCCGTAGGGCATACAAAACTCTTAGACACTAGAAAAGTGAACTTACTCTGCTTTCTGTAAATAATAACCTTGTATCATCAAGAAAACCGTCAAACAATGTTTCTGTTTAAGCTACTTAAAGAAGTAGGAAGAGTGGTCAATATATTTAGAACAATTTCTGCCAAAAATACGGTAAGAATAAAAATGTTTGGTACTCAAATTTTAAGTCTATTGTTTGAGGAAATAAGGCAGGTATATCAATTAGGATTAGATTAGTTGAGGTATAACTGAAAACCCTATTAATATCTGCTTAAACAAAGATAGAGGTATAGTATAGTTTTCACTCACATAATAGTCTGCAAGTTTACTGTCTAAGACAGAAATGTTGGGTCCATGATTATCAGAAAGGCAGACTTTCCACTCTGTAATTCTTAGATCATGATCTCTATTACCATGTATGCCTCCTCATGTTGCAGTGAGGCTACTGCAGCTCCAACCATCACATTCATCCCACATTTGTCCCTGCCATCAGCTGGGAATGATTGCAGATGAAAAAGGGCTCCTAATAGTTAAGCTAGCCCTCTTCTAACAGCTTTCCTAGTAGCTTCAACTGGCAAATTTTACAGACATCTTTTGCTCATCTATAAGGGAGCTGGGAAATGCAGTTTTTTGTTTTTGTTTTTGTTTTGCAGCTAGACACATTATTGCTACCACATAGTATAGTGGTTTTATTGCCAAACAAGAAGGGGACAATGAATATTGGGTAGGTAGCTAGCAGTCTCTGTCTGAGCAAGTAGATTATCCCTTCCCTGTGCTATACTTCCAATTGTACTGGTTACATTGTATATACCTATTTATATAGGAGACAGAGTTGATAGCAGTAAAAAGCAGAATAATTATAGAGTGATCCTATGTCTCATTTTGCCCTGTATAGTTCCAGCATATAGTTGTTATACCAATATAATTATTATCAGTATCCCTATTACTCTCTAAAGTTTCCCAATAAAATAAAAATCACTTTAGCTATCTCTAGTACTTACTAGCTTTGTGACTTTAGCAAATTACATAACTTCTCTAAACTCATTATTTTAGTTACTTGTTGCTGAATAACAAATTATCCTGAAAATTTATTGGCTCTAAGCAACAAATATTATAATTTCACAGTTTCGGTGGGTCAGTAATGAAGAGCAGCTTAGATGGATAGTGTCTCATTCAAAGTTGCTCTTGAGGTTAGGTGTTGGCAGGAGTTGCTATCATCTGAAGGCCTAACTGTGAAGAACGACCCACTTTGAAGATGACTCACTCACATGGCTGTTGGGAGAAGGCCTCAGGTACTCACTCACCATAAGGGCTTCTCTCCTAGGGCAGCTTGCATGTTCTCACCACAGAGCATCTAGCTTTCCATTCAAGAGAGAGCAAAAGGAAGCCACTAGCCTTTTAGGACCTAGTCTACAAAGTTGCAGAGTCACCACTTTTTTGTTTTTTTCATGCAAAGAAATTCACAAATCCAGCCCACACTTAGAGGGTGGGGAATTAGGCTCCACTTCTTGAAGGGAGAATATTTTAACATCACCATACTTTTTGTTATCTGTAAAATGGGATAAAATTACCCACATGCAGTAATTGTATTTTTATGAAGAATCATAATCCAGATAAAGCATTTTAATAGAGCACTTGGCACATAGTAAAATGTGCCCCTTAATTCATGTTAATAACTAATATTATAGACTGGAATATTTTTCCAGTTAAACCATAGTTCCTGGAAAGGGTCATGTTTGATTTGTTTTGATAATTTAAGCTCCAATTGCAGGGTTGGGCATATAGGGGACACTTAATAATATTTGATGAATAAATGAGTAATGAACATATTCTTTAATAGGACAAGTTAAGTGGAGTGTTTCTGTAAGTGGAAAGAAAACCAATGCAATAGTCATATGAATTAATCTGTTTTGTTTAAAAATAAGATTTTCATAGCTTTTTATATAATAGAGCATGAAAAAGTATGTACTAATGTAATGTGTACTGTTACATAACTCATAATATTCACTAGTATATTATGCTGTTATAAGATCACTTATGTTCTTAATATTAAAATTTATCCTGCAGCATTGTTTTGTAGACATATATTAGCTATGTCTTTTTGAGACAATGAGATTATTTTACTTACTAAAGAAAATATTTCAATAATTATTTAGATGACATTGCTAAAGAATGGTAGGATTAAAGCACGTATTAAGGAAAATAATTTCAGGAACTATACACACGTATGTATTATACAAATGGCATATTTTGTCTTTAATGACATACTTTAACATTTTTTCCAAGAAAAAAAATACGTGTAACTTTGTAAATTAGTATGTTTGAAGATCTTCTGATTAGGAGTGTTTACAGTAATCATCAATCTGAAGGAAAAAAATAACTAAAAGTTTTGGTTTATAATCTTCAGTAACAGCAAGGCTGCATTTATACAAAATAATTAGTGGGAGGAAAGTATTAGCAGTCATCTATCAAGTGCCAGGAACATTTTAAATTATACCACATGATTCCTTTTATGACTCATGACATAAATAGAACAGAGAATTTTTTAGTTCTATGTTTTTTGATGTATTTTTAAAAATGTGTTTAATTCTGAATACTTTGCTTTCTATATCTAAGCCTGCAATTGGACTTTTCAATAATAGAAGAGTAAGTTAGACCACATTACCTTCTTCCAAGCATGAAGTTTTCTTGTGTTGTAAGTGCTATACTAAGAAATGTGATCCATTTTTTTAGCACCCATTAGAGCACACGTCAATACTTCAAGTCTCTAAAAAAACAAATTAAATCCCCTTATGTAGTTATAATGTAGAAGGATGCTGCAATCTTTAATTAGTTTAAATGAAATAATACACATGATTTTCTTTTCACATTTTCACAACATGTCAATCATTTGCAGGGAAATTCTGAAAACTGCCGAACATGTCCTTGAAGGAAAGAATGCCTATCTTGAGAGCACAGTGCTTTTTCACAATGAGATGCAGAGAACTCCAGGAGTGTACAGGACACATCCTGCTATTCATGATTAGTTTTTATCTACTTCATAAACCCCAAGCCCTAATTCCAAATTGCAACAAGGAATGAAAAACAGCTATGAAAGCTTATGTTCTTGGGATTTTCTACTTCTTGAAAAGAAATATTCATTCATTCATTTATGCAAAAATATATATTGAGCTAGTACCTTCATATGTTCAATTTATAAAGTTGACCATTGCTTTTTTATTCATGCATTCATTCACTTATCCTTCAACAATACTTCCTGGTCTCTTGCGGTTCAATAAATTATGTTAGGCACTGTACATTTAATGATGGATAAGATCAAGATGTTCAAGAGCCACAGACCAGTGTAACAGAATAGAGACTCCAGACATTAACCCAAACATATATGGCCAATTAATATATGATAAAGGAGCCATGGACATACAATGGGGAAATGACAGTCTCTTCAACAGATGGTGCTGGCAAAACTGGACAACTACATGTAAGAGAATGAAACTGGATCACTGTCTAACCCCATACACAAAAGTAAATTC